GCCCAATTTCTGATTGGTTTCTGCCCAATATGCCAACACTGGTTGTGTTGAACAACACACATTTTTCCTACAGCAACACTGGCTGTGTTTGCTTTGAGCAGAAAGCCACCTCCATGTGGAATCATCATATTAAAAACACGCAAATCATATTTAGTTTCATTTGCGATACAACAACATCAAGCTTGAAGGAAAAGTACTGAAGATTGTACCGGAACTTTCACCATTATGACGCTAAAGAGGGCAAGACAACAAAAGATGGTAAGCTAAACAGCTAATGTTAGCTTGTTGTTGGCAACTTGCTACGGTTGTTTTGTAGTTGAACTCATGTGAAAAAAATGTTAGTTATTGTAAACGATTCATAGGCTAATGCAAACATGCAGAACCTGGGTTTGAACCCAGTCCTTACGGTGCAAAAAGCCCAATAGAGAGGAAAAAGACAAATCAGACAAAAAATAAAATAAAATAAAAATAAAGATTGAGTCAAGGATAAAGCCAACATGGATGCTTATTTTGAAGAAACTTTGAGTGAGGAGACTTGTTGCTTCTCAACATTTGAATAAATTATTGTTCAAGGACCACAAAGTGACAAAAACTGCAACAAACATTTTCCTACTCGGGCTCAGAAAACATGAACTATGTTTCTTTCTTTAGACTATCCACTTTGATATGAGGCAGCAGGATCTGTGTAGTCCCATGTACAATTTAAAAAGTCTGATATACAATATCATTCCTATATTAAAACATAAAAACATAAAGACGTGCTAACAGGTATTTTCTTTTGTTCCTCGTAGCTGCTCTGCAGATAATCAAGAAAAGCTTTTTTGGGAACGTTTTCTCCTGCAGGCTCTGTTCTGTCTAATTTGTCACAGCAGTGCAAAACTAAACTACACATCCTAATGCGTTTCCTAATGAGCTGGTGCCCATCAGCCATGAAAAGCTTCTGTTTGAAGTAGTTTGCCCAGTCGCTGTGTGCTGACAGCGGAGCACAGAGGAAGCACAACTGTGTTTGCACAACTAGACAAAACTCTAAAGGTTAATCAGTATCAATGGTCATCTAATGATTAGTTTCTGAGGGTTTCATTCAAATCTGTCAACTGGTTATTGAGATATTTCTGCGTCACAGTCATTGGTAAACAGTGTTGATAATCCTAATCAACTTTTTGTCACATAGACTGATAAAATTCCAATAGACAGTTTGAATGTATGAGATCTCTGACCTGCATTTTCTGAAGTAAAACCAAATAAGTATTAGATAATTATACTTTTATCACATATTAAACTTTGTTTTCTCTCACAAATACAAAAATTGGAATAAAACATCTTAACACTGTTTAAGAAATTGAATTAATTAATTAATCAATACGAATATTTTTAAACATTTTGACACATAAATTGCATCATTTTTAACTTGGTGCAACCGAAGTGCAACAGAAAGTGACAACAAAAAGGAACTCCCTAGTCTCTACGTATTTAAACTTTGACTCTTCTTTAGATTTTTTTAAGTCATTGGAAAAATATGAAGAAACATCAGATTCTTCACCACGATCGATGTAAGATAAGATAAGATAAGATAAGATAAGATAAGATAAGATAAGATAAGATAAGATGAGATAAGATAAAACTTTATTGTTCATTACGTTTGGTGTAGTATTGCAATATTGCATTTGTATTTACCATGATAATTTAATGTACAATGCTTTGGTCTGAATTCCTCCTTATTGTAACTTCACAAGCCCCTCTTTCACCCCTTTGTCTCAGATCAACTCATTTTGTTGTCTATTTAAATCCAAATAAGGCGCATCACACCAGCCCCTCTCCTGCTTCCAGAGAGGTTCACTCTAAATCAATCAATCAATCAATTAATAAATTAATCAATCAGTCAATCAATCAATCAATCAATCAATCAATCAATCAATCAATCAATCAATCATACACATTTATACAGCACATTTTAAAAACCACAGGGTAACCAACGTGCTGTACAATAAGACAAAAATAAGTTAGGACAAAAAAAGAAACGCACCAGGTTCACAACAGGTGTGTTTTAAGTTGCCATACAGGACAAGGTTACAGTGTGTTAAAAGCTAAAGAATAAAAGTGTATTTTTTAAAAAGATTTAAAAACAGAAAGAAAGGAGGCCTGTCTGACACTCAGGGGTAAATTGTTCCATAACTTGTTAGCAGCAACAGCAAATGCTCTGTCGCCTCTGAGCTTCAGCCCAGTTTTAGGGACTGACAGCAGCAGGGTGGGCAGAAAGGCTGAATCAGCTCAGATAAAAATGGCGGTGCAAGGTTGTTTAAACATTTTAAAACAAATAAAAGCTTAAAATTAATTCTGTAGTGCACAGGGAGCCAGTGAAGGGACACTAGGATGGGAGTGATCTGCTCGCGCCTACGAGTCTGAGTTAACAGGTGAGCAGCAGAGTTCTGCACAAGCTGCAGGCGGGCAAGAGAGGTCTGACTAATGCCTACATACCTGTACACTGAATTACAGTAGTCAAGACAAACTGTGATAAAAGTGTGGATTCACTTTTCCATGTCAGATTTTTTCTAAGATGGGTTTCACCTTTGCTATTTGGCGAAGCTAATAGAAACTTTTCTGCACAACACTGGTGAACTCTTTCTCTAATTTAAATTCAGATTCAAACTTCACCCCCAAATTGGTGACACAGTCCGTGAGATAGAAAAACAGTGAGCCAAGATCTACATTGGGGGAGAGATAGGAACTCGGTCCAAATGACGTAAATTCTGTCTTATTTTCATATACACTAAGAATGTTAAGAGAAAACCATGTTTTCATGTTGTTAAGGCAGTGTGTGGGTTGGACTGTGTTTTGTGCGAAGGGAAAATAGATCTGACAATCATCAGCATAACAGTGAAAAAAAATATCATGCTTCCTAAAAACAGAGCCGAGGGGGAGTAGGTAAAGGGCAGATAAAAGAGGGCCGAGGATTGACCCCTGGGGCACCCCATATGGAAGCGAAGCTATGGGAGACATAAAGTTGTCAATTTTTACACAAAAGCTCCTATTATACAGGTTGGACCAAAACCAAATGAGGGCAACACCCCTAATGCCCACGCAGCGCTCAAGACGAGAGTTTAAAATGCTTTGATCAACTGTGTCGAACGCAGTGGACAAATCTAAAAACACTAAAACCAACAAACTTTCCGGAGTCTGTTAACAAATATTAATAAATTGAAATCCTTAAAAGTGTACTCTCTGTACTGTGGAAGGCTTTAAACCCAGAATGAAATAGCTCGGGGATACCAATGTCCTCTAAAAATGGCAACAACTGGTTGTAGACAACCTTCTCTAATATTTTAGAAATAAATATACTGTATTTAATGGCTAAAAATTGTGGATTTTGAATAACATGTCCCCTTTAATGAACACATAGGAATAATTTCCTTTTAGACTTGTAGAGACCACAGTCCATCATTTTACTGACCTGGATTTACAGTAAACTTCAGCTCTTTGCAGAAAGTTACAATCTGAATACTGAACAACTTCCATCCATCTTTTCCAGGGAGTTGGTGATGTTAACTGATTTATCTCTGCCTGCAGGAGCTTGGCTTTATTAAGCAAACTGGGATGAGCTCTGCCTCCTGCCCCCAGTAGCATGCAAATCTCTGTGATTATGCTGTAAAGAAACCGTCCTTTAACCAAAAATAAAAAAATAAAAAAACATGTTCGGCAATGAAACTCCCCTCTGAAGAGTCATTTCCTCTATCTGTGTCAAGTGGATTTTCCCAAATGATACGCTCCTTCAGAGACCAGAGGTACATCTTGGGTGTAATAATTCCAACATGAGACATGAATGTGAGCACAGATCCTGATGGACCTGCAGACCCCCAAGTGAGATATTTATATTTACAATCAGCGAATTACTTTTTCTGCATTTTGTTTTATGATTTAAAATTATGAAGCCTCCTACCTCGGCTATACTGAATACTCTGTACCCTTCTAGCCTTGCTAATGCATATCACTATAGCAACAGTGCAAAGCCATTTTATCTACAGTAAACATAAAAGTCTTCCCCACATTCATTTCGATGCAGTTTCATCTGTGTGGAACATCACAACTCCTTCCATTCATCCTCTCATTCAAGAAAAAGCACACACACTCACATAGTGCATTTAGTCTTTTAGAGGCTCTCACTCCATCTGCTATTAAGTGGAAGCATTCAGAGCTTGGTAAATTCCAACTCTGGCTGAAAAAAAGAGCAGTGCATTACTGGATCTGAGGTGCTGATGGCTAAATAGGTGATTAAGCAAGGTAAATAAATACAATGACAAAAACCTTTACGGTAGATCCATGGAAGATGCTTAAGTCATTATGAACCCATTTGAAAGAGAACACATCCAGAGTACTTCCAGACAGCAGATGGACTGGAACGCTGACGTCAAAGCAATAACAGGATCGGAGAGGAAGACGGGAGGAGAGAGGGAGGAAAAGGAGGAGATGGGAGTCTAAGAATAGCAGTACAACCTCGGGCCAGCGCGATCGGTCAGCCCTGCCTGCTATTTTTTACTTTACTACTGTGCCAGCCTCTCGTCTGACATCTTTCTCTCATCTCTTTCTGTTTCACTTCTTGCGGCCAACCGTGTGACGACTTTATCACCTACGTGTCTCAGCCCCACCACTCCACTCCTTCAAAATACCACCCAAACTCTCCCAGTGGGCTCAGGTCAGAACTTCGGGCAACACTTTCAAAAGTCCACACATTGACAGAGGAGTGCCTCAGTCGATATTGCTTCAAATTTAAGACCAAGGAGCACTCTATAGGTCAGGAAGTAGGGAGCAGATGCACTTTTAATTCCCACTTTATTAAAGCCTTTTCATTGACGTGGGTTAATCCTTGAGAGATTCACCCTACACATTCCTCCAGGGGATGATTTCAAGGACATACGAGACAGAAATGGAATTTAAACTGAACACGAACACACACGACAAGTAGCTATAGGAAACGCACTCAGACGTGTGTTTGCTGGTGCACTTACCACAGTCTCATCAGGAAACGGGGCTCCATGGCTTTTTGTAGAAGAGGGCAGCACTATAATTCAGGACCAGTCGTCTGCAGAAAAAAAACAGAAAGGAAAAAAAAACATCAAGGGACCATAAATTCCAGCAATTCTCTACCATACTGTACCCATCAGGAAGCATTTAGTGCTACCTCTTTGCCATTCCTTTACAGCAGAGATGGGCAACTGGCAGTCCACGGGCCAAATCCAGCTCATTGGTGACTTCTGTCCGGCCCGCCAATAGCTTAATTTTTTTAACTTAAAAAAGCACTGTCCGGAATACAAAACAGATTTTTTTTGAAGTAAAAGAAAAATGGGAGGTAGACTGTCTGTTCTGTGTTTATTCTGTTTAGAAACACTGTCTGCTAATGATGAGATAAACGGCTCTTTGAAGGGATCTGGATCTTGGGGAGCCATTTGTTTCATAGCGCCGTTAAAAAGAGCCGTTCGATTTTGTGTGAGTTACGTCATTACGTAGGGAAATACATCATCACATATGGCGACGTGATGATGTCATCACGTTACGTGGGTGGAACCATGTGTTTTGTCAAGCGGAAACCCCACTCCCCCCTTTCCCTGTTAGCTTCTGTTCTCCACCGCTCTGCCTGTTTTACCGTGAAAAAGCAAAGCCGGAGCAATTTAAGGATGAAAAAATAAAGATTATATGAGGAATAAAATAAATAAAACTACAAATGGCTCGTTACTGCCTGCGACTCGGCTTCTATCGTTTGTTGTAAAGAGCCGTTCAAAAGATTCGGATCATTCGTGAACGTCACATCACTACTGTCTGCCATGAAAGACTTTAAAATTAGTCCCCACTATAACATGTTGCACAAAGCTAAATATGGCAAGTTCACTGAAGTCACACTTCAGCACTCTCAAGTGTTTTTTTGTATGCATCAAATGTTTTTTCTTCATGTTAATGAGTAAAATTATAACCGTAATACATGCAAATGAGCATGAAATATGTTGTTACTGCACTGTGAATTGGTTTATTAACACATACACACATAAATATTTATAAAATAGTTTTATTACATTTCAGTAAGTGTGGAGCACTATGTAGCCCTCTACTAGGGTCAACAAAAAATTGTGGCCCATCCCTGCCCTACAGTACATCTCTTCTCTCAGTTACAAGGGAAAGCACCTCTCCCTATAAGCTTTGACCTGTAAACGGGTCCCTGGCGGTGCCTGCAATGTGGTGGAAAATGAGCACCTGTGTCTTTTGGTCCCAAAACAAGAAGCTCCCCTCACTACCTTAGGAAGCATTTCAGCTACCTCGCTTTGAAGCGCTCCAGGCCCCTGGAGCCACAAATGGAGAGATGACAGGAGAATACAAAAACAGAGGAGAGGGAGTTGGAACAGTTCAGTGAATTAGCTGTGGAGATGAAGGGCTGTGTGTGAGTGACATAAAGACAGAGAAGCATAAAATGGGGCTGAATGAGTTCTGCGTTCAATTTCATCCTAAAACTAGCATGTTTGAAATGATTAGCGCTGCGGTGAAAACAAACAGCAGGATTGCTTCATGCAAAAGCCTGCATTTATTCACTTAGATGAAAAGATCAGGATTGTTGTGTTCACTTTTGCTCCGGAGAAACAACCTGAATGCTAAATGCTATCAGGCTAACTGGTGGGGCATTAAAGTGTGCCACAGGTTTCCACGTGCTTTATTACCCTTCCATTAGCCTTAGCATAGTGATTACTGCAGGAGTTAGCTCCCTGGGCATTTTTTCTTCTTCTTCTGTGCCTCATTAAAACAAATGCTCAACCTCAGCATGTGTTAGTTTTCGCATCCTGGCAACAGCAGCAAATATATAAACTAAACCAATGATGTTTGGATCATCTGAACAGAGATGTATTCCTACAACTCCCGAATGCCACAACAGGAGCCTGATTTCATTTTAGCTCTGATCACCTGGTAATTATATCTGGCTAAGCAGCGTGATGTGCAGTTGAACCACGAGGCTGCAGGGCACAGTCATCAGGAAAATGTTTTAATATGCGTCCTGCGATATGAGGCGCGTGGCAGATGCTCTCACAGGCTCTTTTTTTGTTTGCCGGAAAGGGTACATATAGGTGTTTGCACTTAAGTATGCACATGTGTGCACGGGCGTGATGTGTCGCTAGCTAGCAGAAGATAATTAGAACACAACTCTTCTGCTGTCCCTGCAGGCCACTGATCCAGCTGCTTTCATCTAATATAGGTCAGCTGTGACAAAGCCCGCAGGACGGACACTGATCTGCTCTGCTTGCTCTCTCCTACACAATAATAATAATAAAAAAGAGATGGAATTAAACTCATACACAACCACGCGGAGCAATATGCTCACATGCATACTGATGGCTCATGCAGTTTGCACGGTGCATGTAGATGTACATTTGCAGCAGGTAATGGCTCACACCATGGCCTCAGGTGTGTCAGCTCCAAACACCCAGACTCATACAGCGAGGAGAGCAAATGAGTCATTTAAAGTCAGTTTGCTCACAGCCACACATGATCCATCCAATTTTGTTCACTTCGCCAAACTGGTTTTATTTCTTTTTTGTCTTCCTGAGTACATTTTGAATAATTTATATTTCCAGTGATAATTGTAGGAAAGTTGTAGAAATATAATATAAATACTACAATTTTAGGTTACAATGCCCGCCACAGCTAGCTGGATGTGTTAAAGCTCAGACATGTGCTAAAAACGACTTTCAGCTACTATCACATAAACTTGACCTCATTTACCTTTCATTTGAGTAAGCTGTAGCCATTTTTGTGTTGGTAATTAGCTGTGGTGGCCATCTTGAATTGGGTTACCTTCAAATGTGAATCTCAGGTAGAGGTACAACCTGTCATTACTCTCTCGAAGTTTCAGCAAAATCCATCCAATTGTTCACGAGATGATTATATAAAAATTATGCTGGCGTTCTAAATGTGTTGAGAGTAACTTTACTACCGCACCACTACTGTAAATCAATATCTTTGAAACTGAATGAGTAATACTCATTTTTATATTTGTTGTGAAGGACATCTGTATTCGGGTTGACTCCAAAAGTTCAGTGTTTCATGAAATAATTTGCTAACAGCCAGACAATAAATTTGAGTTTAGTATCTATAAAATTAGCTGAGTTTTAGCGATCTTTTGAATTTGAGCAAAATAAAAAAAGTTTTAAAAAGTTTTACAGGTTTTCTACAACCTTCGCCAAGACAAAAATGGCTTTTCAAAAGAACTCCAATCTTTAAAATTTGCTAGCAGCTGATGCCAATCGGTATTACCTTATAAATCTTTACACTGCTGACAGTTTTTCATTAGATGGTTATATGCACAGAATTTCATGGTTATTTACAAGTGCCAAAATTGGCAGCGGCATCTAGCTTGTGCTGTGTGAGACACTACTGCCAACAATATCACAATACTTCTAAAAAATATAGGGTGTATTCAGACCAGGAAAGTCCTTCGACCCAATTGTTTGGTCCGGACCAAAAAATGGACTTTATTTTTTTTCCGTTTGGTGTGGTTTGCATTCACATTGTGCTTTTTTTGCAAATGAACTATAATTTGTAAACAAAGCCATCAGGCTGACGATCATTGCTCCCATTGGACAAAAAAGGACAGGGGCGGGACTGAGCCACAGACCCAGAAGAAAACAAGGAAGTCCTGCATGCTGCGGTTCTGATGCACACATTTTTGCTGATAGTACAACTGCAGTAGCATTTAAAATGTCAGAAGCAGCTAATTTAATGGTGGTTCTGTGATGATATTCTAATTTTGGAGCGGCGTCAGTAAATGTGTCCCGCAACCCAAAGGAGAAGAGGTGGTCTGCGTGTTCTGACCCACAACATGCTGCCATCAAAGCTGCTAACAGGAGACGACGAAACAGGTATGATTTTAGCTCAGCAACGGTGGCCTGTGAAGTCCAAAAAGGTGCATGCACTTGGTTCGGTTGGAGTCCGGTCTGTATTCACACCAGAAGAGAACTAAAGTGAACCGCACCAGAGGTCGTTTGGAAGCGGACCGAGACCACCTCAAAAAGCAGGTCTCGGTCCGGTTGTTTGATCCGCACCAGAGTTCYCATGAGTGTATTCACACCTGCACAAAAGGTCCGGACCAACGCTGGAAACGAACTCTGGTTCGTTTAAAGCGGAGCAAATTATCAGGTCTGAATACGACCATTGCAAGAGTAAAGGTTTGTAAAACAACGTTCACATTGGAGGTGTTTAAAAACCCTGAAATGTGAAGAGAAAGCTTAAACTTTCCTTTGTCTTTCAATGTGTTGTTCCCTTGAAAGACTTCATTTATGAAGTGCAAAAGCAAATACAAAAGATTGAATTAAAGTGACCTCATCTCCTCAAGAGTTTTATTCAACCTATGATGATCACCTCAAGAGGAAAGCGTCATTATCTTCTGTCGCCTTACAGTCGTCTCAATAATAGAGCAATAATTGGTGCGAATTACGAAGTGAACAAGTTGCGGCGTAGCCTTTGGAATGGAGAGATTAAGAAGAGTTTGTTATGTCGCATTGCAGGAGAGCCATGCATTCTCTGAAGTTGACTAATCACCTCTTTTTCCTCCTTATCCAGTCTACCTTTATATTTTAAAGCCAGCAGGGTCATGAAGGACCTAAAACAACTGCGGCTGTTTACACAAATACAATCAATATCGGATTTTTTTCTACTTTGTCTCTTTTTTTTTAACTTACACTCTCCATCACCTTGTCTAATAAGAGACTGCAGTGGAGGCATTAATTAGGGACAGATATGCACCAAGGATTTCCCACAGGGACAACAAGGCTGTTTCACACCGGGTCGAGGGTTGACAGGTTGCCCCTGACCACTGGACTCATGAAAAAGGTGAGGGACCACAGAAAATGTAGTGCCCACACAGTAATCTACAGTACCCCTGCTTCACCTTATTAGCTCTAAAACTAGTTGTCTTTGATTATCAAAACCATAGGACTGAAAAGATTTCTACACTAACCTCATCTACATATATAT